GTGTCGACTCTTCACTGAGATCAGTGGCCACCAGGTATTTTCTCAACCTATGATGCTCCTCTTCGGCCGACTTCTGGATTTGGTCAAACTCGCCGCGCATGATGATGCGTAGAGTTCGTGAAAACTCGGGGTTGTTGAGGGTTTCTGTTCGTGAGAAGGCAAGTCTCTGTGCGCGCTTGATGTCGTTGAGCTCCTCCTCATCGTCCGAGTTCACAGCAGATGCCATTCCCGATCCTGGCTCGTTGTCGAACGCTGTGGTTGGGCGAATGCCGGCTTTGGACTTGGACTTTTCGCCGCCCGGTTTGGTGAGTGTGATGGAAGGTTCGTCTAACAATGACTTGTATTTGTATTGAGGTTGCTTGGAACTGACTGCCAGGCCTGCAAATTTGTTAGCATCTCAACCTGCAATGAGCATGAGTTACTTACGCTCTTCCTCGGCCGCGGCAAGCAGGCTAAGCGTCTTGCGGTCACCTTTGTCGGCCGAGCTGCCGGACTTGGCATTGCTCTCTTCATCTCGAGGTGACATTTTACGCCCTCTCTCGTTCTCTTCATCAGAAGAACTGTGCGCGTCATCGTCGCTGCTGTCTTCGAGCTCCTCTCCGTCAGGGCTGAGATAGTCCTTCGTGAGACGTCCAAGTCCGGCATCATCTGCACTTGACTTTTTGCGTCCAGCCAGCCCGGACAGGCCTCCGCCTGAAAATGCCAGATTCGCGTCCGACAGTTTGCGGTAGGCGGTTGAGATGTCGACTACACGACCGTCATCAAGAATGGCAGTTCCAGGGATCTGCTGGAGCCGACCGCTAACATTGGGCGAGCGGGAGCGCATGCTTAGTCTGCCATGAGGAGACTTGGATTTGCTGCCTTGACCTCTGCTAGAGCTTCTCCCACCCATGACAGGATTGCTAGCAATAGAGCCGTGGCGGGCCCTATCACCGGGGAGGATGATACCGGGGATATCGTTGCCGCGCATAACGTCGACCATAGCGCCGCCGCCCGGCTTCTTTACGCCCAGCGCCTTTCCCTGGGTGTTGCGCTTCGGCATAGCAGTTCCGATATTGTTAGTAGAAATATCAGAAAATTGGTAGTCCGCAGTCGGATCCATTCGATTAATCGGGGCGCGCGGACCAAAGCTGGGCTTTTGGGAGTGTGAATCGGAAAATGTTCTCGGGTGAGGCGCGCGAGATTCGACTGGGGAACTGGGGCCGGCACTGGCAGCCTGCTTTGGAGCCGAGGTGTTGATATCGAGCATGCTCCGAACGGGAGCCGGAGGACCGCTGATATCCAACATGCTGCGCACCGGTACGGCGTTTCCGAGTCGTGGACTCTTTGAACCTCCATCGGCGCCGATATCCAACATACTTCGTACGGGCGAGCGAGGCGTTGTGTAGGGCGATGGCGAGCGTGCAGAGACGGGCGAACCCGTATTCCAGTTGGATCTAGCAGCGGTACCCTCCAGCAAGGCCAGAACGTCTCTTCTCTCCTCGTCGAGCATGGCCTCCATGCTCATGGGTTGGTGCGACATCTTGAATGGGGTCGAAAGTCGGATTGCGCTCTTGGCGGGGAAGGAGCCTCGTTCAGGACTTTGCGAGCGTCGCTTTTATGGTAGAAGAGCGATGGTAACTCGTCCGCTTGAGGATAATGATGATTTCGTTGATGTAAAATCGAATACGGGAGTATGGTTCGGGTCGGATATACGTGGTTCTGGTAAATCTAACGGGGGATGATCTTGCGATGTTGACGTTGGCGGTGCAAGATGGACGACAGAAACAGCATTGTGTAGGGGCAGTTGGGATATGGAGGTCGGTGGAGGCTCCTTAGATCATGGCTCCGTTGGGGACCAGACCAAAAGTGAGGAAGGTGCGCTATGGGTGGAGGCCTAAATTAGCTTATGAAGCACGAGTCGAACTGCCAAGACCGGATGAAGGAGGAATAGTTAGTTGTGGTGGTAGGGGGGAGGAGGAGAAGAGAAGGGTTAAAAAAAGGGTGCGGTGCGGCAAGGTAAGGTAGGAGAGAAACAACAAGGGAGTTGAAGGAACCTGAGGGTAAGGTAGCGCACGACACACGATTGGTGGTAGTGGAGTGAATGGAAGGGTAAGGTACTGTGTAAGGTAAGGTATCCTCAGAAAGGGTAGAAAGTAAGGTAAGGTAGTTCCTAGTCCCTTCTTTACCTACCGTACTACTTTAGCCAAGGTTACCTTACTGCGGTAGTCCCAGTCCAGCCCAAAGCTCCCCGGTGGCCGTGGCAGTGGCAGCGGCAATGCAAGCGTGGGCTGGGAACGAACGAGTACGAAGTACTCCGTAGACCTACGCAGTAAAGTAAGGTAAGAGAAGAAAAGGTGGGGATTGGGTATTGTGGGTGGCAGGCACCGGAGGCACCTCTGAGAGACGGGACTTGAGAGAGATGGTTGTGGAAATGGGACGGTGGAGGATCAGAAGGGGTCAAAGGGGAGGGGGGGAAACGTGGATAACGTGGATGGTGGGAAGGGATCGAGGAGGGGTAGGTGCTCGGTTTTTAGCGTCGACGTCTTTGACACCAGTTGACTGTTGACGGCGCCCTCACTCGTTTTCTGTGTACGGAGTAAAGGTACTGTATTAGTCTGTGTTGAGTAGCCTTCCCTTTCTTCGCCTTTGTGACCTTGGCCCGTGACTGTGTCTGTACGAATACCTAAGATTGACCTGCACTGAGCTTAAAGTGGTGGTGCAGACAGTGCCTGAGAAATGCAGTCATCCGATCCAAACTCGTCGTTTCTATTACGTTCTTAATCAACATGTCGCCTGTCCTTTGACTCCTCTGTCTAGTTTACCACTTTACGGATACATGGAGTCAAATGCTGTGGCAGAGACTTTGTGGACATGGGATGAGATTGGCAATGGAGCCATGGGCACCTTATCCAGCCCAGCCAGCCCCATTTAGGCCGTATTCCTCTGCTCTCTTGCACCCAAACTCATTTCCCCAGAGTCTGAAGAAAATCACCCATTTTGTAGCGCCCTAGTGCTGCAGAGAGACAGAGGACCAGCTTCTTACTTGCTCAGCCTTTCTCATTCTCCATCCCCGTGCCGTGGGTGCTTCGTCATCACCCGTCTTGGTAACACTGGTACCTGCCCACTCAGGAAACCCGGTGAGGTACCACATCTCATCCCACTTCACTTGTACATGTATGGCGTCCATACCGAGTCGTGCACTTTTCTGTGCCCAGTGAATTCTTATTCCGATGAATCGTCCGAGAGCCATTGGGCTGCTGCCATCCCAGAAACTCAATCGAAAGATGGGATGCTACCTCCAACTCTGCGTACGCCCCAGCGCCCTTCCTCTCTGGCGGTTGTCTGCTGATTTGATGCACGACACTTCATCCCCAAGTATGCAAGCCATCCAAAGAGTACATGCTCTGTGCCCACTCAGCCGTCTCAAATTGGTAGGTGTACGTACCCGAAGATCTCTGTGCTTTAAAACCAAAACGAAGAAAAAAGAATGGGGAAACATCTGAGGAAGATCTGAGGAACACTCACTTACATCTTGATGTTCGAACGGGATCGACAGGGCTGGTTTCAGAGCTGGTTTATCGTATGGTATATCCGTATCTTAATTAGAAATAGTCAAAAGATTGACGTTAATGACAAGATGAAACACCACTCTATTGACAGCAAGAAACTGTTCTGAAAAGAAAGAATCCTGTGCCCGTCTGCTCGAAGATTTTGGTTGCTGACACTCATTTGTGTAGCACTCAGTTCAAACGATGGATCGAAGCCGACATGAAAGTGAATGACGCATTCCCTGCCCATCCCCACTGCAAATATTTGTTTTCGGTGTATTTTCGTCCACAAACGTAACCCCGTAGGAAATACTACGTCCCGCGGCCTCCGCCAGCGTCCCCGCCGAATCTGTCCTGCGCTTCGCTCTCCGAACGTCCCATAAGGGTATCCTTCAGCCTCCACTCACGTCTGCCGGGCGGGGGACGCAAGATGCAAGACGCTTCGCCGCACAGTGCTTCCGACAGTGCAATGATGACGACGCCGGCGTCCACCGCCAAGACCGGCCGTCTTCTTGGCAGGTGATTTGTTCACCGTGGACGGCGCCGATTAGGACACCACTCCCACGACTCCCAAAGACTCTTTTCAGCCGCCCGCCCCCGGAAAGGTAGGGTCAGTACAGTTGTTAGGTAGGGAATGACCAAGAGCACCGCCCGGACACGGTTCCCTTTGCCTAGAAGAAAAAGAGAGAAGAGACAGTAAGACAAGACGTCATCTGTTCATCACGTGGAAATACCTGTTGGAAACTTTCCCGGGCGCCGGCACGACAGTCTCGTGGCTTGGCTGTAGTCCAAATCGACTACCGGCATCTTTTCGGGCCCCGGAGAGTTACAGACGCCTTTTTTCTGTTGTTATCATCGCCTCATTGAATCCCCGCCTTTTATCCTTTCGGCACAGTGATGCTTTAGGCCTCTGGGAATAAGGTAGTGAACTATCTACACGTATAATGAGGCTGTGTTGCAGTCTATGTCTGCCGTTTGACCATGCCGGGCGTCATTCACAATACGGCGGTCATAATGGCGAGAGGCCTCTCGATGTCTACCTTGGCATCGACGAAGCCATCCTCAGCCTTTCCCACAAGGGTAGCATGGCTCCTCGGGAGAGTTTTAATGGGAGATGTAGCCTTCTAATTACAATTTAGGAATGGTACAGTAGAGGGTATGGAGACTGGACTATGAGCCGGAGATGATGCCGGCGGCCATGTGCGCAACGCTGACACAGTGATGCGATGCTCTCGCAAAATCTTGGAGCAAAATTTGTCCGGCTTGACACATCATGGCCTCCAGACTAAACCGCCAACGCACTCTTCACGACAACTAGTTTTGACAGAAAGGCTCCTCTCGAGCACTAACATTTGGGCGGGATGATATAGTACAATATACAGCTTTGCTACAAATCTCTCTCAACAACGTCTTGTTTTCCCCCTACCCCCTTCATCTTCGTACAAAACCTCCTCCCCACACCTCCCCTTTTTACATATTCTGCTTGACAGGCTTAGCAGTCAAGTTGGCACGCGTTGCCGTACCCAACTTGTGCAGCGCCAACCGCTTCTCCCACACGGACGACCGCCCCTCGGTCACGGCAATCAACTCGTCCGCCACGCGGTGCGCAAACTGCGTCCGGCCGGACCCCTTGGACGGCTTCTTGTTGACCACGTCCAGGATCCACTGGAACGCCGCGCGCCGCCTCTGGCGGACCGCCAGCGGGGCCGGGAGTTCCAGGGGCCGGCCACCACCGGCTCCGCCCGCAATGCGGCGGATCTTGATGAGGGGCGCCACGGAGTCCACGGCTAGTGTGAGGTATAGCACGGGGTTCAGCGGGAGGTGCGCCGGCGGCGGGGCGCCGGGGAGGAGCGGGTATTTAGGGTTGATGATCGGGGGAGGAGAGGTTCGCAGGAAGTTGAGGACCATGGCCATATTCTGAGTAGGCGCACGCGATGTCAGCATGGTCTCTTTCCCAAGTGTCTTGACACACAAGATCTTGTCAAAGGTTGCAGAGTGGGATTGACTTACTCTTTGCGCCTGGGCCTTCTTGCCATCTCGCATCATCAGGTTGGTCAACTGGTCTAGCACGGGGTGGTACCGAGACTTGAGGTGGCTATGGGGCGGCAGAGGGAGCGTAGGCAGCGGGAACTTGTAGGACCGTGACGGGGCGACCTCGGCGGCGTCCCCAGCGTGCGCGAGAAGCCCGCCGCTAGCTATGATTTCGAGATCGCGCTGGCCGTTGCCGTCGGATTGTGTAGGCGGGATGGCGCCCTCGGCGTACAGCATCTGCTCCTGGGCCTCCGTCAGGCCGCCCTGAAGACCGGCGCTGTGTCCCTTTGCCGCCTCTGCGAGCTCGCTCAGTGCCGCGGCAGCTTCGAGGGCCTCATTTGTTGGCTGCAAAAGTAAATTGTCAGCATTCCCTCATTCTCACCATCCCGTTTGTCCATGTTTTATTCCTCCTCCTCGCATCAGAAATCCATACCTGCTGTTGTCCCGGCGCAGATTCAGGGACCTCCTGACCCTGAGGAAAAGCCGCATTCTCAGTCTTCTTCAGCACCGGGATCTGACTCCGTTCGCCCTTGCGCAGCTCGTCAGAGTATCCTCGTTTCGTCGCCGCCCAGACCAGAGGTTCCTGTCGTTGGGCCAAGGGTCGGGATCGCAGCGCGAGCGCCCGGCAGGCGGTCTGTAGGGTCGGCCGCAGAGACATGGCTGCTCTAGATGTGTACAAATTTTCGAGACCGTATCGAATACCGCCGATTGATGTGCGTCGAGTCGTCCGGATGTCGTTGGAGTTGGAAAAGGTACACTGAAATTCGACTGGCAATTTTCGACCCAGCGCGGTCAATCCGTGATCCACGAAAATTATTGAGTCGCGCGGATGTTGCCGCTCCACTCTCGCAACGTCGACTGCTTACCTACGCCTTTGCAGTTCCAGCTGGGCCCGAGCTTCAAATCGAATCGAAGTGGGGCTTTGAAGCTCTGTCCGGAGAAGGGTAGCTCCGATTTCCCGAAGCTATTCTCGACGCTTAGGTAAGGCAGATAGGTCCCATCTACAGGCCACATCCCAGCCCAAAGCCGGTCGGGGCCGTGCCGCCCACCGAGACGAACCTCACATGCCCTTACCTAAGCTAATCTCAATCCACCTCCCGCTCTCGCTCACCGAATATGCAGACCTTCTTCACCAATGCCACCACACCTCTTCATCAGATTCGCTGTGTGATACCGGTACTGAACATCTTCCTCCGCAAGCCAATGGGCATTTTTCTTCTCAAATGCCAGGCACGGCAACAGCGCCAGTCACGAGACTCTCCCTCGAAGCGGCTTACAGCTCCTTCAGGATGATCAGAGGTCTCCTCTTGCGGCCGCCAAACCAACAACAAATCCAAATCCTTTTTCATCTTTGCCCCCCTCCCAATCCCACCTGAAGCCGCAACAACCTAAGCTGTCTTGGAAAGAGAAACCCCCAATTCACCCCATCCCTTGATCGATGCCCACGGCGTCCACGTCTTGTCGACATCCCGCACTTTCACCATGTGGGTTTTTTATGTCTCAGTGACCAGAAAATCCCGCCCCCAAACTTTTTGCCCATCATGAAGAGACCAAAGTTCCATGGTTCCCAATCTTTTTGCCAATGTGCCATTTGCCGAATTCGCCCCCCATGGCGGGATGGCGGAACTTGAGGGACCTACCTATCTAAGTCGCAACGCCACCCACATGTCGAAGCCGTGAATTTCCTCGACAAACAGAATACCTAGAAATAGCGAGAGAAACACACCACACACACACCTACCTGCACACACCTTGACACCTAAACCCCATCTCCGAACACCTGCTTTTACCCCTCGCTGCATGTAGACCGAATAGGGAACAAATCACAATCACCCCGGGGGAAAAAAAAAGGATGTGATTCAAAACTGTCTGCCTGCTACACACCACCGCCACTCACTCACTCACCCCCTCTTGCAGATTTCCTGCAGCACGGCATTTAGCGGCTCTTTTCACTTTCTCTGCCCGTCGCGCGATTCCGTCTGCCCTCTTCTCACCACATCCCGCGGATGTGTAATGTAAAATGGGGAGATTGTTATCTCCATCTCTTCGTGGAGTACCGTAGGTATAGGTATTCGTATCTTTCATGGGGGGCCAGACCGAGAAAGAGAGAAAAGAGTTGTCACAACTTTTGTCATTCCATTGACAAGCTCCCTAGCGCGAAGACCAGCTGGCAGCTGGTTCAGCTACCCCCACCATTCATGAAAGCTAGGCTGGCTGGGTCCCCCCAAAGATTCTCTCTCTCCTCTACTTTACCTTACATAGGCCAACCGTGGGCAAACACAACTAAGGTTGAGAAGACAGCTTTGCGTTGGCGTGGGACCTGCCGCAGTCCCGTTGCTAGCAGACTCCCTAGCTCATCTTTGTCCAAGGGTGGGAAGGGAGGGGAGCGCGCCAACGCGCCCACTGTCCGCCGACACCGCAACGACCTCCTGCATTGGTGATAGTAGAACCAGAACACCCGAAATGCCTATGTCATCGTGTAGGAGAGGCAGGAAAGGGAGACAGGCGGACAAACGAAGCCCGTTCGCCCTCCCCATGCCAATCGACACCCCCTTCCAGTGCCCGTCGTCTTGAAGAGTAATCAGCTTTGCTATCGTGAAGCCACCGATGTCTTTTGGTTGGTCTGTCCTTGCGTGAGCTACAGTCCCCATGTCATCACCGCAGGCTATAGCAACGGAGAATTAATCTCGTCGCACGTGGATTGAATGCAGAGTGGTGTGGGAAGAAGTGGATACGCCCTCGCTAGGAAAAAGGAAGTCTCGTCATAATGGTCCTCATCTCTTTTGGAAACTTCGCAAGGAACCAGCTCCATTCAGCATAAAATCCCTTTTCTACCTAGCTATGCCACGGCGGTATCCCTTGCGCTCGTGGTTGCTTTTCCCATCGTTAACGCCGCTCCGTAAAGAAAAACAAAAAAAAACGGCAAAAATGTCCAAACTGCAAGCCAATTACCAACCTGGGCCCGGCTTCGTAACGCCGCCCAAAACAACAAGGAATTAAATGAGAAAGAGTCCCTCGTGACCCCGTCAACTGTTCTGCTGGTGTCGGTGCTGTTTCGCCAAGATTCTGTCTCGTGTTGGAATTTCTTCTCTCAGCTCTCGTCCCTGTTCCACACGTGTGAGGAGTACAGAGAGAAGCGAGACACGCCGTCGCGTGCCCCTCCCACTGCCCCCTTGTGGATTGATGTGGTGAGAAACAAATGTTTCTTTTGCGCCATTTCTCCTCAACCAGCTCAACACCATCTTCCTTTTCGGAGCCTCCCAATTGACCGTAGGTAGAAATGTAGTCGTACGCCGATGTTCCGTGATGTCCCCTTGTGCCGTGTGGCATTTGGCCAATGTCTCCCAATCTCAACTCCAGGTGTGTATTCGTACAGTTGAACATCCGAAACAAAAGCCCAGGAAAGTAAGAGCAAAAAAGTGCGTTGAAAGATAAAAAGAGACAAAAAAAGTGTGACGCTAGACGATGATGCTCGAATGGATGTTTTCGCTGCAAGTTGCGGGTATCTTTGCACGTCTGTATCCGTCTTTCGTTTCGTTGTCTTCTTTACCAGCTGCCTCTGCTGTTGGCTGGCGAACTGGGATTCGAACCGGTGAGGTAGTTGAGAGCCATTTCGGCGGCGTCTTCTTTCGCGTTGTTGAGGTTCTTGCCGTCGTACCAGAATCGTGCGGAGAGGGTACGGCCGTGGACAGTTACTCGACTGGACCAAGCGGTGCGGCCGCCTAATCGAAAAACAATCAATCAGCAAGGGGAACAGGTCTGACGGGGTGATTCCTAATAATGAAGCTTACCACGGCGGTCAGAAACGATCTGGAAGACAGGGGGCATTATGTTGGCCTCGCGGCAAGCATCTGTAGGGAAATTGATCAGCTTTGTTGTCAATGACAGTCGACGTCCTCATGGCGAATCCCTACCTTCAAGTCGCTCTTGCCAGGTGCCTGCCTGACTACTGTATGACGAAGCAGACATGGTGGCAGTCGACGTGTATGACTTGCTGGAGTACATGCAGTGCAATTGTGTGGCCGAAGCAACGAGGAGTAGGTTTATAGAGGTATACTGTTCGAGGGAGGCGCCGAAGCGATAGTTGTTGTAGATTGCAGTAGATGATGAATGTTGTAGGAGTCGGTTTGGGATCGCGGATATCTCTTAAGACAAACGATTATAGAGTAGCGAAACTTTGTGCTTCTTATACTCGGGATCAGGTTGGCCGTGAAACAAATGGGTATAATCCCATTGGAGTAGAAAAGATTGTGATGTGGCAGGACGAGATTAGCTAGAAGCTGTTTCTGAAGGCAATGAAATGTTTGCACAACGAATGCAGACGGGTAAGGGATCAATTGGGCTGGTACCCTACGGCATGCTGCATCTTGGGATGGGGAGAGGTGGGAGGAAAGAAAAGGAAGGGAAGATGAGAGAAAAGGGACATGATCCAAAGAAGTAACGACACAACATCACGTCCCAATTCCGTTTGGGTTTGGTACGGCAGGACCGCGTCGGTTTCCAGTATCCTTTCTTTTTCTCCATGCCCTGGTACTTGTCTCTGACGAGCAGCAGGAGGAGTAGGAGCGGCGGCGGCGGCGGCGAGAAGGAGGAGGAGAAGAGGGGTGTGCCACTTGGGTGTGAGTGCTTCTGCTTCGTCTGATGCCAGATCACAGACCAGAGACCAGACCGGACGTGGGGAGTGTGGTACTGGCCGCAGAACGTCGTGATAAACTTGGATCTCTTAGCGTCATCTTTTTGGGTTATTATTTCCCTTTTTTTTTTTTTTCCTCTCTCTCTCTCTCTCTCGATTTTTTTCCTTCTACTTTCTTTTTTTCACACACCCCTGGACACACACACACGCGCGCACACACACATATGCTAGTCGTTGAACCCCCCGCGTGGTCAACCGGTACATGGGTGCCGACAATCATGGGTTTATGAACAGGCAGCTGGGAAATATGGGCTTGCGGGACTTGAGACAAGATGGCATAGCTCCACGGCTTGTAGGTAAGGTGAATATACACTACTTGTGAAGGGAGACCGGGAAATGGCCGCAGCTTTGAGCGAGCAGTTGATTGGGACGTGGCTTGCCAGGCTCCCTTACCCGGCGTTCTGCGGGGTCCAAGGCCACACAGAGCTGGCGTGGAGTGCCGACCCGTCGGGGTGGAAGAGGGAAATGATTGGGAGCTTCAAAGCCGCAGAGGCAAGGGCTTGTACGAGGCCAACCGGAGGGGGGGGGAGGGTGAAGGGGGTGGACGATCGAGCAGACGGATGAGTACTCCGTACCTAGGCCGACTGGAGAGCAAAGGGGTGAAAGATGGAGGTGCAAACGGTGGGAAAAGGCAGGGTAAGAGCTGACCAGGGGTAGGACTGGAATCTCCAGCCGAGAAAGGGAGAGGAAACGAAGGTTACGGAAAGCGGATGCATACAGCCTGGATGTATCCACGAAAGTGAGCTGCGTGTATCCGTATCCAGGTCATGTACCAAGATGAGTGCCTGACGTGCTACACGGTACATTGGGAGAGAGAGCAGAGAGAGAGAGAGAGAGAGAAAGAGAGAGAGAGAAGAGGTTTCGTGCAGATGTCTAATCCCTGGGCGGGAGAACGAGCAATAAACGGACGAATGAACGCCCCCAGATACGTGAAGAGCCTATTTGAAGATTGCAAGAATGGGAGTGAGAGTAGGAACAGAGCGGCGAGGCTGGAGGGCTAGAGAGAGGGCTACGATGGCACCACGTCCCATGCAGTCAACGCTTCAGCCGACCCAAGCTAAATCGCAACCAGGGCTAGGTTGGGTTGGCTGGCTGGCACTTGTTGATCGGTACATGAACCATGAGCCATAAGAGAGTGGAGGGAAAAGCGATATGTACGGATAGGTAAATGAGAGCAGGGGGCAAGGGTTCAACAATAATAGCATTGACATCAGCCAATAAGCCGACGATTGGGCAATCAAGCTAGGGCAAAAGTAAAAGAGCGTGACAGAGCGAAGCAGTGAGGTAAGGTAAGGTACCTTGGAAGTTAGCCTGAGCACCCGAGCACTGGGCAATCCGCAGTGGCATCCGGGACCAGCTCTGGAGACTGGGCGAGCGACGCCAGGACCCTCTCCGGCGGCATCGACTCCGCCAGCCGGTGAAGCGAAACGAACCGGGGGGTGAGAAATACCAAGTTGCTAAGCAGCCCGGTGGTTGGGCAAGAGGAACAGTCTGGCCTCCATACATTGCGATGAAAGGAAACTCGGTCAGCGTCGTTTGGGCCTCATCGAGACCATCCTCACGGCGATGGACTGACGTTGAAGCATGTCAGTTTATTTTGGAAAGAGGAAAGCAGGGGGGGAAAAAGGGCCGTCGAGCCACGTCGATTCAAATGCGCGATGCGGCAGGAAAAGGGCGGGGAGAGGCGAGTGATGTATGTACCACCGTACTGATGCAGTTAGCGGAGGGGGGGGAAAGGGGGTGGGATCGGGCAGCCACTCATTCCTCATCGTCATTTTGGGGTGGGGTGAGAAGAAGATCAGGGCAGGGCGAGGCAGGGCACTTCTAGCAGGGCGGGCCAGACCACCGATGATGATGATGATGATACCGATGCTGCTGGCGAGGAAAATTGTGAATTGTGAAAGACGACAGAGACAGATTGGGTTTGGTGAAGAGTGAGAGAGTGTGTATCGTCCTCCAAGGCATGGCGTCTGTAAGACGAACATGTGGTTGTGAGACCTGCGTCCGTCGTCCCCCTGCTCTCCTCAACGCCCTTGTACTAGGTGTTTGTGAACGTGTAGCGGTAGTTTCGTGCCCTCGATATCGCAAATGAACATGAAAACCAAAGTCATGGCATCTTATGTGCCCAGAAGTCAACTCCCCTCCGAGGCAAGGCAAGCAAGGCAAGGTGCGTGCGGCTGTTTGGCTGGTCTCAAGCTCTCAATGGCTTCACTGGCCTCGTCAGTTCGGGTTTAGATCAGGTCCAGGGACTTGCAGATGGTCGTAGCCGTATCCGTACTTCTTAGTAAGGTACTCCAGTCTCCAAGCTCTTCATACTAGGTAAACCAAGTACCACCTAGAGGCTAGCGATAGTGAAGGACGGGCGGGATCGTCCAGAGTGACAGGGCGGCCGGCGGGTTTGGGCAACTGCAGCTCAAATGCAGCTAAAGCAGCACGTACAGCAGCTCGTAGAGGAACGGGCACCTCGCAGCTGGAGAACATGGGGTGGATCACCAGTCGTGACGGTGGTTAAGGTGGTCCATGTTGGTCTGTGGAGGCATTGGTGGCCTTGGTGGCATCGGGGAATGGGAAGAGCCCCAGCCGAAGGGGTCCCTGGCGTCTTAGCCTACGAGTCTAGGAACCGTCATGCTTCCCCGAAACGAAGGGAGCAGTAGGAAGGGGGGACATGGAACCGGGAAGCCGGGGAACTGGGCTTGTTGACCTGCGTATATGCGTATGTACCTCATGATGTGTTGGGTTGTGAATGTACAGTACTTGCATGGTGGTGGCGGTGGATGATGAAAGATAAGCCGACGAGAGTGAGAGTGAGCGTAAGAGTGAGGATGAGAGTGAGAGTGAGAGGGTGAGAAGGCCGCATGAGAATGACGGGACGTGGAGACTGGGCCGAATGAGTGAGTCGAACAAAATGAAAGGCCAAAGTGGAGCGAAACATTGTGACTTGAGAATTACAACCCCTGGTCGTTTCCCGAGTTTACCCTTTGCCATCTTCGTCCTTAGCATAGAGTTAGTAGTTCCTTCATAGTCACGACTCACAAACCTCTCCTCCAGCTCCAAGACTCCTCCCCACCCGGGCAGCTACCGCTACGGTAAGGTAATTAGCAGAGGTACTCCGTACATTGGAGACATTTATCACAGGGCGCGGTGTTAGTGAGGAAATCGATTGAATACTACACTACGGATGCGCAGTGACCCAGTTGGCTAGCAACACCAGCATCCGTATACAACAGAGCGAAGCTTTGCCAGCGGTTTTATTGTTTCGTTCGGTTTTAGTCTACGGGACGATGCCGGTGTCCTTCCGTGGAGTTATTCTGCCCTCACCGTCTTTTATGTCTTTAAACTTTTCTTTTCACTCCAGACGGCAGTCGGAAGGGATGCTACTCTAACAAAGCATTTCAGCCTTTTCGCAAGACATTCAACTGGGTTGTCTTATCGAGACACACGCACTACGCACTGCACTGCAAGTAGCCCGTAATGCAATGCTCATGTTGTGTAATGTTGCTCAGCATGTAGGTCAGTCCTTTGACAGAATGAGGCCGTCATCAATGAGAGAATGATGGAGCATCTGGTGCTCCATGCGCCCGTCAGGATATGAACGAACGACTTTGGGGGCAAAGCCACTGAGGCAGGAACAGACAGGGAACATCTGCGCAGCCGAAAGACAAGGTTGGCCTCGGGCTTGCAGTGACTGAGCGCTGGGACTATATCCGTATCTATATGGAGCAGGTGTAAGGACCCTCACAGCAAGGGGAAGAGGGAGAAAGAAAGGAGCGAGCAGCGAGCATCGCATCGATGGCATCTCGACTGCGTAGTGTACGAATAAACCTGGTAAGCCACGAACTTCAAGGTTCTCTCTGTGTCTCTCTCTCATATCTCCCGCCTCTCTCCCGGGCCACAGGAGGAAGCGCCAGGCCACCATTGGCACCGGAAGGCTTGGGTCAACGTCGGGCAGGCGCCAGGGCAGGGTCCAGGGTTCTAGGTTCCTTCCTCTGCTAAAAAGTTTCTGGCCCTGTCCCGGTCGCCAGGCCCCCGTCGTTGAACTCAAAATCGACAAAAAAAATCATTTTCTTCACACTTCACACCTCAGCTTTCGTCACCGCCTTACTCCGTATCCGTACACCTAAATGCGACCTCACAT